AAAAAAAAAAAAAAAAAAAAAATCACCACTGAAGTTGATTGCTTTTCAATCTTTCTTAACGCTGTCCTGTTCTAAGATATTGGCAATCACATTAAAATTTTCATGCAATACTTACTTGGAACATTCTTCATATAATCCAATCCAGTCCCTCGAGGGACCCCCTAGAGTTTCACTTCTTTGGAAGTATTCAGTAATCAGCTTCAGATTTCCTGAACAAAAGAAAGTTTTAAAGAACGGAAAAGAAAAAAATAGTGAAACATATATGTATGAATTTTCAAAAAGGGCAGTTATTTGTTACGAAGATCGATGTCAAACAGTTTCTTCAGTCCCGGCCGTTGAATTTTCACCACTACTTTCTCTCCGTTATGCAAGATTGCCCTGTGAACCTGAAAACATTTATGAAAAAAATGACAATCAGCAATACTCAGTATAACCATTGATGCACTTCTTTTCCAAAGAAGAATGAGAGAGGCGAAAAGAATAAAACGAGTTAAACATAAAGCAAACACCTGACCAAGACTAGCAGCTGCAACGGGTAGTCCTTCAAACTCTTTAAACAACACATCAATCGAAGCACCCAATTCACTTTCAACAAAGCTAATCGCTTTCCCCATCGAGAATGCAGGTACTTTGTCCTAAATCAAAATGTTGGCAAAAATTGTTTTATCAACAACCTATTGAAAACAATCAAAAGCATTTTGGTCCCTCTGCGAGGAAATTCTTTTTTATTATATTTGTACCTGCAGTTTTGCAAGCTCGTCAACATATTCTTTAGGAAAAATATCGGACCTCGACGAAACTAGCTGCCCGAGTTTGATAAATGTGGGACCCAGCTGCAACGCACGCTTCATTAACCATGAACCCGTTTTTCGCCTTCTCTCTATCTGACAATTAAGTAAAGCACTAAAGCTCGTAACATGTTGTATACTATAAAATTAAGCAAGATAACACACACACACACACACACACACACACTGCATGCAAAATATGCAAGATAACCTGCTTTTCTTGAGTGAAGCCTCGAATGTAGGTCCACTTTGTGGTGTCCAAAAAAATACGCACACGAAGGGAAATTACTGAGGACCAGACGTCGATAGTTCTTTGAACCGAGTTATAATTCTCATTGGCCCAGCTGAAGCCCTTATCATCGGCAGGTAAAACATTCGGCATCTCGAAGGCCGGAAGCTCTTTGAGCCTTGTCGACGATTTTGGAGGGTCTTTCTTGACCAGACCGACTTGTTTAATTACACTAATGCCATTAACGCTCCTCGCAGACCCATTTACGAGCTTGGATGAAGTTGTAGAAAGTTGCATTCTTTCTTGGATTTCTGTTGTGGGTACCATCTCAATAACCTTGCCATGCCTACTTAGTTTTGCCGGCAATTGATGAGCTTTGACTCTGAGTTTGAGGAGTTTGTTGGCTTTGACTGAGTTATTGCGATATATTAGTGAGCCCGAAAAGGAGAGATTATTTCTGGGTGTTTTGTGATTTATTGTTATGATTTCTTCTACACGGCAACACTTGGTGTAAGAAGCAAGTATTACCGACATTTGGAGTCTAAAGAGAGAAAAACCTGAAAAAGGAACAGAAGGTGTGAAAAACAAAAGATGACTGATCTATTGCTTTTGAGTTTTACGACTCAAACAACATAAAAACGAAAAGAAGTGCAACAAACATTGATTACATAGAAATGGGGACTGACTGACAGACTGGTTTCAAATGAAGTAACAACAACATTCAACAATTCAAATAATATCCTCTAACTTAACTCCAAATTTGAAATCAATGATCACAGCTATAACTATCAGCAGCAACAGACAGATCAAATGGTTAATCTACTGCTAAAAATCAAGATTCATAGTCAAACCTACCTGTAATCGTAATCAAAATTCAAGCTAATTCTAGTCAACGCCCCCACGAATGCAGAGAGAACAGAACAAAAGATGAAATCAAGAAAATGAGACTTACTTGCTGCAGTTGGTAACTTAAGGGAGATGAAGAAGAATGTATCAAATCACAAGTCAAAATCTCTCCATAGGTTTGAATTTTGATTTATAGAAAACCAAACAGAGGATATATAATGAAAATTGGTTGATTAGAGAGTGTGTAATTTAATTTAGTTGTGAGGGAGGAAAAATGGTAGTGGCAGAGTCTGCCACTTTATGGTAGTTACCATTCGTCTCACTCTAAAAAGGTATGTATACCAAAAAACAAAAATGACATTACTGTAGAATCTTATTTATCTATGATATAGCAATTTTGCTATGGAGCCATCGGATGGCTCGATTTATGGACCAATCCACACTTATTCACCAATAGTGTATTGACACGTGTCATACAATAATTACAATTTGGACAGATGTCAATATATTAATCGATGGATGGCTCCATAAGAAAACAATCCTATTCGTCCATAGAATTGTTGTATGATATAGTGGCCGGCCCTCTTCTCTTCTCAAATGAGTATAACAGACTAACAGTAGGTAGGTAGGTAGGTGGCAACTTCAACTGGACCGTTTGGTTACATACATGTTTATATATTTTTTCAGATTAATTATTTCTATTATTTTTCCATTAGAATTACAACTCAATTAATGTACTTTTTTTAGCATTTAATCGTCACAAATTACAAGGAGAATGCACCGTTAAATTAAAATGGAGAATGCACTACATTTATTCATTTGCAAAAGAGTTTCGCAAATTCTAAAACAAAGGTATATCATGCAACATTTTCAAATCATTTGATGCTATTTTATTCGAACGAATCTTACAAGTTACAAATTCTCTTGGAATTGTTTTATTTAATGCTTTTTTTTTTAGACGGGACTTGTAGACTCTTGATTTTTCAGCCTATTATATAGGTTGGGGGTCCGACCTTAACCCACACCCTTCTGGGATGTTGCCTTAAAAAAAAAGTAACATACACCATGCCAGACTATTAATATATCACTACTTCCATCTTTACCTAATTTGTTTTGATACGACTTTCTTTATCTATATATATATATATATATGTGTAATAAGATCAAATCATATGCCATAAAGAATATGGTTTTTTTAAATATTTTTATTAATATCTGCAATAATTTCATTGATATTCACTATAATAAATTACAAGATTATATTGATAATATTTTGGTCAAAATAAATATTAGTACAACATAATTTAAGTTCTAATCATAATATTAATTTTTATTCACAAATATTCACTTTTAATCCAAAAATATTAATAAAAAATCGTAACGTGTTAGGTAGATTTTTTCTCCCAATTAATCAGGCGAAATTAAGATGGTGAATTAATTTTCCAATATATTTTTGTCTTAAGTTTTATATCGTTATATATAAAAAATAAATTATTCTTCAAATTAATATAATTAACATTTAAGAGATAATGACCAGATACATTAAATAGTTCAACTAATGGTAAAAAATTAAAATTAAAATATATTAAATGTGCTTTAGAATTTATTTGTATATTATTGGCAACCATGATTATTTTTTTATCATTTTTTTTTATTTTGATTTATTTCTATAATGAAATTTGTAAAATATATTTTTATTGCATTGTATGCTAAATAATATAAAATCTTATAATGTGGATTAGAAAAATCTTGATTATAGAAGGAATTGAGTTTTTGGCATTTTCAAAATCAAAGTTATTTAATTAGTATACAAAATTAAATTCTAAAAAAACATGTTTGTATATTTTGATTACATAAATAAATAAAATACTAATGTGCATTAAATATCTTTCATTACATAAAATAAAAAGAAAAAGAAGACGTACAATTTCTATAACTTTTATAAATAATAATGACATTATATGACAACAAATGTTATAATAAAATAATAATTAAGTATTATATGGTCAGGGCGGAGCCATGATTTGAAAACACATGAGGCTGGGGCGGTTTAAATTGTGATCTCCATTTTTTTTTTTAGATTCAAACTCGCGATTATGGTATCATTACTAATATTTTCGACCAACTCCCTTTCAATGTAAACAACCATTGAATCCGCCAAAAACTCCTCTTCCATCTTATTAAGAAGAACCGCCTTGACAAGGTTCATAGCTGAAAACGCTCGCTTTGTAGTTGCCGTAGAGACAAGGAGAGTCAAAACAAGAAGAATTGGTCCCACCTTAATATAAGCTCGTCTTATTTCATCCCTTTAATCGACAAGATATTTCCATATTGGGGTACGTAATGCTGGATCACGTTCAATAGAACTATACCAATTGAGGCGGCAACATCATCATTTGAAGAACGATCTCCGCTTGTCGGCGTATGCTCTTTTGGCTTAAAAAGGAATTGATTGTCTTTGTTCTTCGTAAATTCTCCATTAGGATTGAAACCTATCAGGTTAACAAAAAATAGTACTTAATCAAGCATTTGATGATATAAGAAAACTAAAAAATAAAACTAGAAAAAGGTAATGAAGAACGATTTGTGGGTTTTGTACACACTATTATGTTATGAAGTCAAGTTTGTACACACTTTTATTATGAAAGCTAAACAAGCATCCACACATTTTAAAGCATCGAGTACATGATCAACAAACATTAACACGTATAATTAAGCTAAAAACATGTTCTCTCATTGATCTCGACTTTAACGTAAATTTTTAAAACAGGTGACAAAACAAACAAATAAAGCCACAGGCCCACAAAACACAAATTGGGAGAAAAACCAATTGACGTTTGAGGAATTTACATCCTATACTAATACATTTAATTTATATAACACTTTTGCACCTCTTAATTCTTATTTATAAAATTACCTAAAGAAGCTAAAGATATTTCAATTATACTTAACATACATTTTCTAAGCGTTATTACCTTTTTATCTGCACATTAAATGCTAATGTGATATTTAATTGAAATTAAAGATGCACCTACCTAAAAAATTGGGATTTCTGATCTTCAACTGTCAAAGCTTTAAGTTAAGCAGCATCATCGTTAAAAAACATAAAAAAAAAATAAATAAAAAAAGCGCAGCATCGTGGTTGAAGGATCGGAGGCGGACCTACACCGCCGTATATGCATCTCCATCTTCCCAAATTCGCGAAAATCAAACCCGAACATGGAATTCAATCGTCTTTGATAATCGCTCGTTCAGACCTCAATTCAATTTCAATGCCTCCATTAGATATTGCCTCTT